GCATGTAAGATTGAAACTGCTTTCAATTTTAATCATTTTTCCCCAATAGCAAGTAACAGAACTCTTTAAAACAGAATGAGCGATGTTTTTCTTTTGAAAATCGGACTATTATTATGGAAAGTGTGCCCGTTTCTTTTTTGGGGATAATAGGCGTTGGACTCCCGACGTCACGATTATGACGTAATTAAACGGTAAATAGAATTTTACTCTTAATGTACTTGACTTTTGTTTTTATATATTGATTCTACATAAAACAGCAAACAAAATGATACCTCAATGGTCACGATACAACTATTATTAAGGATTTTATGACGTTGTGAAGCAAAATTTCGAGTTTTGGTGGCACAAAATGCAGTGCAAAAATTTGGCCAAATCAGGGCGAAAATTGATTCACAAAAACGATCGCTGCTTCTAAACTAACACAGATAGCACAAAAATTTAAAAAGCTCTGAAAACAGATAGCCAAATTCTTTCCAATAATCCAAATTTTAGTTCCCTCGTAGAAGTTTGAAAATTTCACTGAAGTGCCTAAGTCTACCAATAATGGACAGGGTCGAGGAAACTATTGTTCCTCTTGCTCTTTACGTGAACACTGAAAAAAACTTACAACATGTACTTTCATCAAAGTCACCCAATTCCTTTCTTTTTAACCCAACATGTCAATAACATTAACGCCAGCAAAAGAGTTTAGCAAATGATATGAGCCAAATCGATTTCACACCCATCAACAGATAACGAGCAAATAGCAGTCGTTCCATTAGAGGACTCGGATCTCCACACGCAAAGGAACTGAGCCATCAACAGTCTGGCAAAGTTCGTTGTCAAAATGATTAATTAAGACACCCAAGATTTAGGTTCGACTTTAGTTTTACTTTTACTAGTCTTTCCTGGAACCCATTTCTTTTCAACCTGGTGTCCTGGTTGTAATATGCACCCATCTAGTTTGACTAAACTCTTGCGTTTGACATCATGTCGACTAGTGCTCAACATAACGTTTGCCTATTGGAAACCTCTGGGTGGTTTTAGGGTGTCGCTGGTAGATCATACTACTTTTCTTTCCCATTTTTTTTTCTCTGTCTGTCATGCTTTTTCCTCTGCATGAAATGCCCGCTTCTGTGTTAATGCGTTCTGTTTACTTGAGCAAACAAAACCTATCCCCAGGATCCCGCTGTGTGCCGCATTATCGCTCACACGCGGAAGGAAAATTTAGTTCAGCGTTACCTCTGACATTTGAAGATTCTTGGTACTCTATAAGGTGTAACGGAAAGGAAGGGAAGGGAAGCGGAAGTGCATAAAGCCAATAAATATCATTTCAGAAGTTTGGACATGACAATTTCAAAATCTTGCCAGCTAGGCCTGTCCGCACTCCAGGTACTCACGCCTACGTTGGAGATGATCCAAGACTATATTGTAAGGAGCATGGTATACCATTATTTTAAATTCCTCTAAATTTTTCAAATTGATTAGATTTGACTTGCTTTAACTTGCTGACACTATTTGGCACTAATTGATCCCACGATATTTGTAGGTGAACTAATTCAACTTTCGTAGATTTTCGGCAAACACAAAAAGATCCTGAATTGTTCCCATGAAAGATCGGATGCAATCAATCAAAATACTGCAAATCACAATTTTTAAAATTAAAGCAATATCTGGTTTTAATAATAAAGTGCGATAAAATGTATGTAGAAGTCCAAAACATGCCAAAAGTGCTATAAAATGTATGTAGAAGTCCAAAACATTCCATAAAAGACGCCGCAGCCTAGTGGATGTATAACTGTAAAATCACCTCGGGCTAATTCAGATCAAGTATGTGTTCTGGAAATTCAAACCAAGCTTCTTGGAATCCCGTGCAATTTTAAACTATTGTAATGGCAGTGACAACTCCCCCTCTCCAAGAAAGAAACAAACCACCAATTTTCTGTTCATTTGCATATGGGGACTTGATTAAAATCAGAGATTCTGGCTACACTTTCCTCCTGACAGAGTTCAGCAGAAACGAAGGAAACAGTGAGGGAGGTAAAGAGGTACGATGTGGTTGGGACCTTAATGTGGGCGTGTAATTTTGACTGGTGAATGCATTATTCATATTGTTGGACTCTCAGAAATTGGCAACTGGTATGCTATAAATACAACCAGTGCCAGCATTTGCCATAGTAGGCTATATCTTCACTTCCCCGTGCCATTAGTTTTGTGAACATGGGACAGCGATATAAGTGAAACTCGTACCATCAAAAAAAAATTTTTTTAATATCACCATAAAGTTACACCTGATCTCCAGTATGTGGTTAGTGGGGGCTCTGGTGAGTGGTTTGCTCCTTCTTTTCTATCAAACAGTCATCTGTCGTCTTTATCGCCCCCCCATGTCAATAACATTAACGCCAGCA